TTGGTTTCCAGACCCTTCACCATTTTAGTTGCCCTCCTTTGGACACAAAGGGAAATAAACCTTGTTTCTGCAAACGTCATTACCTTAATTGGGAATTTACAGTAAGTGCATTGAACGTCCACACACAAGTGAAAAAAGCCCGTAAATGTAGTAGAAATGAGCCTCTTGCACATGCGCAGATAGAGGAATGCTCGCTGGAACTATGGCAACAGCAGGGAAATGCTCCCCAATGCGCATTTGGCGATCACATTACGGTAAATGCGAAATTACCGTAATTGCACAATTGCAATTCCTCCAAAGAACCGAATTACAAAAGATCGCGTTTCTGTCCACTTTCTGTCCACTTTCTGTCCACTTTCTGTGCGACGTCGTGTGAAAACACGGGGCACTAATCCAGTTTCGGTCTGGATTTTGTTTGGATTAACCAGCAGATTTGCCCCCGTGTGATAACGTCCCTTCTCGCGTTAAGCAACAGCAACAGTTCTTCCTGGGACTTGATAGTTGACTGTGGGGAGAGCTTTTGGGACAGAGCTGCATGTATAGAAGCCCCAGTTGTGCATGCACAGATCACTACCAGGATACCTGTGTGTGTGTCTAGGCGGTGAAGGAGACTTATGACAACAACACAGATTGCTTCTACTACTAATACATTTACCGCACTCATGCAAGGGCTGAGCCTAGATGAGGCATCTTGTACAAAGATAATAGATTCATATGCCAGACATGAAGGCTTCAGCGCAGAAATGATTTTATCAAAGTGAGATCAGAACGAGAGGATTCAAGCTCTTTAAAAAAAGAAGACAGAGGAACTCATCCAACCTATTTGATCGCTCCCAATCAGTTTCAAGTGCAGATGAGAAAAGCTGGAGCCTCTCATTGCAGACCGTCCCTTGAAGTGGTTTGATTTCACTATCCCTGCAATCAGATCTGATGTTTCCATTGCAAAATTGGGATGGGCGTATCTTATTTTGCAAATGGCATGGGGGCAAAAATATCTTTAATGTGGCAGGAAGGGATGGAAAGACGTGTCTGCTGCACCTTGACCAAGAGGAGAAGAGACCTTTGTTGCTTGTAGTGGCTGCAACCCAATAAAGCAGGATTGGGGCGGGGGCTGGAGCAGGAGATGCAACTCCATTAAATATACCTCTTCAGTATACTTGTATATATTGTATTCCCTATAACCACATTCGGATGTGAGAGTTGGACAGTGAAGAATGCCGATAGAAAGAAAATAAACTCATTTGAGATGTGGTGCTGGAGAAGAGTGTGGAGGATAACAACCAAAAAGACAAACACATGGGTCCTAGAACAGATCAAGACTGAAAACCCCTGGAAGCCAAGATGACCAAACTGAGGCTGTCGTACTTTGGCCACATCATAAGAAGACACGACTCACTGGAAAAGACAATAATGCTAGGAAAGATGGAAGGTAGCAGAAAGAGAGGAAGGCCACAAATTAGACAAATAGGTTTGATCAAGGAGGCCACGGTCCTGCAGAACCCAAATGGAGCAGCTGAAGACAGAAGGGCTCAGAGGTGTCTCACTCATAGGATTGCCATGAGTCAACGTTGACTCGGAGGCAGTTAACAACAGCAGCAAAGTATACTGCTAGGTATGGTGCCATCTTGGGTCCTGTACTGGGAGAGAGACGGGATATAAATTAAAATAAATAAATAAATAAATAATGTGTGTCTCCGAGTGTTAGTAAAAATAATACTCATGGCTGCTGCATGCAGGTACAACATAACTCTCGGATAGAACTTGGAAAAGTTCTGTTGGAGAGTTTTCCAAAGTTTGTTTCAGTTTGGTTTTGAAGAATTTACAAAAAATTATTTTTTTAAAACTTTCAACAGAAAGAACATGAAGTTTGGAGAAATCTGAATCCAGAAGAAAGGGTTGCATGGCAAAACCATAGGCAGAGATTGATGCTAGGCAATCCTGATGTGGAGCCTTGCCCTAAAATCCCAGTGGCCATTCTGCTTGGGGGACTCTGGGAACTGTAGTCAAACCCTATAACTTTTCTATGATCTGAATGTGGGGACAATGAGTGTTGGACCATACACTCTGGAGATCAGGGGCATGGAGACCCACTGGGTGACCTTGGCCAAGTCATGCACTCTCAGCCCTAGAAAATTCTGTGATAGGGTCACCTTAGGGTTGCCATAAGTCAGATTGAAGAAGTCAGATCAAACAAACTGAAGGTACACAACAACAACAAATAGTGACCTATCTTTCGGAGTTGTTGTAAGGATTAGGAGATAGCATGCATAAAGTGTTTTCATCATTTCTGGAATCATTCTATGACTGCAAAGTAATATTTTATCCAAAATGTCAGTCAGTGTCTTCAAATGTTTTTTTAATATATATAAAAAAATTATTGGTTGAAAAAACATCAGTACAAATTCATTCCTACACGCATTCAACAATACCAACAAAGACAAAGACAAAAACATAAACTTTAACACAGAAACATGTTCACATCTCTAGTATTACACACTAACCACCTTATACAAACTATGGATTCTTTCTTCTCTTTTTCTTCTCCTTATTTTGCTTTCTCCTGTTCAAATTCTTAACTTTAACATCATCTTTCTACTCTTATTCTACCAATTATTCCACTATTACCCGATAGACCTTTCTATATACTCTACAGTAGCATTTTGAACCTATTTTGAACTTTTTCTTTTCTTTATGTCAATAGTTCTTTTTTTATACCTATTACCCATATCTGACCACATTCTTGTTTCATATTCAATAAAAGGGTTCCATATTTCAAATAAAATAAAATAAAATAAAAAAATAAATTTGTTTTTTCTGTAAAATTTGAGTTAATCTATTATTCCCCATCAAATCATATAACTTCCATATCGAATCTCTAATCTCTGGATGGAGTTTTGTTTCCATTTTGAGGCATATATTATCCTCGCTGCTATAGTCATATAAAAGATCAGTATACCATGTTCCATTTCTAAGGAATCTTCTTGATTTATATTTAACAAAAATCTCTCTGGATTTTTTTCAAACTTAAGATTTAAAATCTTTTCCATTTCTTGATGAATTCCATTCCAAAAAACTTTGGCATGTTTACACTCCCCACCCAATGTGATAAAATGTGCCCAATTCCTTATTACACTTCCAACATTTATTTATTTTTCCCGTTTTTATAAATTTTTGATAATATTTTATAATAATTTTCTTTTGGACGTGGTCTAAAAGATTGTAATATACATTAAGTTATAATCTGAAAGAAAATGATTATAAAATGTTATATAGATGGCACCTTACTCCATTTCAATTATCAAAATGTTATATAGTGTCTTCAAATGGTTTTTGAAATTCAACAAGGGAACTACTTCATGGTAAAAGTTTGCTTCTTGTTTTAACCAAGATTGCATCAAAAGCCCACACCAGCTCAATTACGCAAATATTGCTCATCACATAGCTGATTCTGGACAATTTGCCTACTTATGGCTGAATTATTTTTAAAAGTCTCCGCTTCCTGAGGTTTGCTGAATTGCCACTTAAGTGATTCCTCCGGGAATTCGATCTACGGCATGTTTCAGGAAAGAAGGGACAGTTGCAATAAATGGGAAATCTGAGTGTTGCATCAAAAACAACTTTACATGGGAGTTCTGTTTTGTTTTTTAATCACTGCCTACATATTTTTTTAAGGTGCTGTTTCCCCTCTTTCCCTTCCATTTAAACATTTCCCCTTGAGTGAAATATTTTTAACTCATCTTTTCATGGCACTGGATGCAGAGTTTTGAATGGACCCATTGAAATCAGTTTCCCAACAGGACAACACATTTTTTAAAAATCCTTCTGTCACCGCTATACAGGTGGAAGCCAGCTCCGGGGGCTTCTGTACTGAGGTTTTCATGTGCTTTGTTATGTGGCATACCTCTTTTCTTACTGTTTCTCTGAGCATGATCATCTTTTCCTATGAGTCATGCCATCTCAGGACACAGCCAGATTTTTACTCCTTATATAGCCCTTCATTCACAATATTTGCCCTCAGTGGCGTCACTAAGAGGACACGGGGAGTGTGCACCGCACCAGGAGACACCATCAGAGGGAGTGACACCACAAGGATTGTCGTTCTCTCCATGGTTGGTGCTTTTCCTCTTTGCTATGACACCAGAGTTCGAATCCCACCCCCCCGGACCGCAAGAAAAATAGGAAAACCACATGGAAAACCTCGCCAGCATAGCATAGTGGTTTGAGTGTTGGACTACAACTCTGGAGACCAGGGTTCGATTCCCGGCTCAGCCATGAAACCCACTGGGTGACCTTGGACACGTTGCATGCTCTCAGCCTCAGGGGAAGGCCATGGCAAATCTCATCTGAACAAATCTTTCCAAGAAAACTCTATGATCAGTTTGCCTTAGGGTCGCCATAAGTCAGAAATGGCTTGAAGGGACACAACAACAACATAAAGCAAACTGAGATATATATACCTTATTTTCCTGTGTATAAGACTACTTTTTTACCTGCAAAATCTGTGGCTAAAGTGGGGGGGGTCGTCTTATACGCGGGTCGTCTTATACGTCGGAAAATACGGTATATATATATATATATATATATATCCCAAATGCTGTTGTTGCTGTTGTTGTTGTTAACTGTAGTCAAGGCTACTTTGACTTATGGCAACCCCATTTGTAAGCTGCTCTGATAGCCTTTTGGTTGAAGAGTGGGGTATAAATACATAATAATAATAATAATAATAATAATAATAATAATTTGGCAGCTAAAAAGGCCAATGCAATTTTAGGCTGCATTAACAGAAGTATAGTATCTAGATCAAGGGAAGTAATAGTGGCACTGTATTCTGCTTTGGTCAGGCCCCAACTGGAATAATCCTGTGTCCAGTTCTGGGCATCGCAATTCAAAAAGGATGTTGAAAAACTGGAGCGTGTCCAGAGGAGGGCGACTAAAATGGTGAAGGGTCTGGAAACCATGAAGCCCTATGAGGAACAACTTAGGGAACTGGGTATGTTTGGAGAAGAGGTGGTAAAGAAGTGTTGTTTGTTTTCTGCTACTCCAGAGAACAGGACCTGGGACAATGGATGCAAGCTCCAGGAAAAGAGATTCCACCTCAACATTAGGAGAAACTTCTTGACAGTAAGGGCTGTTTGATCTCCCGTGGAGATTTTGGTGGAGTCTCCTTCTTTGGAGGTCTTTAAACAGAGGCTGGATGGCCATCTGTCGGGGATGCTCTGATTTTGAGTTCCTGCATGGGTGTGGGTGTGTTTGACAGCCGTGGCAAGTGACAGCCGCGGCTGTCCTGCTTCTGCGCATGTGCAAGAACATCCTTGCTGGGTTCTGGAAGGGATCTTCTCACTTGTGTGTGAACGGCAGATACGGTTCCCAGGAGCGCATCTATCACGGTTTCGTTAATTGCGCAATGATGCTAGTTGCGTCTGATAGCCATTTCCGTCTTGTGGGGTCTATACCGGTATAGTTCTGGATTGATTCCATACCGCTTTCTTGCCGCTTTGAGACCCGTGTGTGATAACGTCCTATGATTCTTAGCTCCATTGCTGTTAGGAACTTTCCCAAAAGGATGATGCATCTGTTTCTGGATTATGAAATCCTCCTCCTGGCTCCAGCTGCAGACTGAAAAAAAAGAAGAACATTTCTAATTGGGCTATTCTTAGCCATGAACGTGTCAGGCGGTTAAAACAATTGTTTGTAATTCATACTTCCTCAATATGCTTTTGGGGTCATTATTAGAGAACTACCTGTGAGACCAGCAAGTGTAACTTCAGAGAAAGGAGCAGAATTCTTTCTTCCAAACTACCCGTCGTTTTTCCTCCAGGAGTGAAAGATCAACCAGAGCTTGAAAAATTACCTATTTGGATGACTGTCTCATCACAGGGTTTTCATGGTAAAAGATATTCCAAACTGGGGATTTGGGGATTTGTAGCCTCTTGCCTCACATGAGCATGCAACCCCATTACCATGCAAGGGTGGTACCATTTGGACTACAAATCCCCAAATCCCCAGGCAGCATGGTCATGGACAAATAGGAGCCAGTTGCTTTAGTGCCAACAAGATGGTGTCTCTGCCCTGGGTTTCAGTCTGGATCCAGAAGGACTCAACAACTTCTGGGGAGAAAATTCAGCTATTTTGGCAGCTTTTAAAAATTCAATCTAGAACCTGGACATGTTTATCACCCTGCTGACACTGATGCCACCGACTCCCGTTTGTCCATGACCATTCTGCCTGGCGATTTGTAGTCCAAATGGCACTACCTTCCCATGGTACTGGGATTGTGTGCTTCTGTGATGAGACAACCATTCAAATAAGTAACTTTTCCAAGTTCTGGTTGATCCCCACTATCTAGCACCCTTCTCCGGCCCCACATTCTCTCAAAAGCATTGATTTTCTTCCTATCTTCTTCGTTAACTGTCCAACTCTCACATCCATCCATGGGAATAATAGGGAATACAATCTTTGAGGATACACTTGCATGTCTCACAAGAAACTTCTCCCTCCTCAATATGCCATCCCTTCAAATATTTAAACAGGGCTATCATATCACCTCTTAACCGTCTCTTCTTCAGGCTAAACATACCCGGTTCTCTAAGTCTCTCCTCATAGGGTTTTGTAGTTTCCAGACCCTTCACCATTTTGGCTACCTTCCTCTGGATATGCTCCAGCTTCTCAACATTCTTTTTGAATTGTGGTGGCCAGAACTGGACACAGGATTATTCCAGGTGAGGTCTGACCAAAGCAGAATAGAGTGGCGCTATCACTTCCCTTGATCTAGACACTATACTTCTATTGATGCAGCCTAAAATTGCATTGGCCTTTTTAGCTGCAGCATCACACTGTTGACTCATGTTCAACTTGTGGTCTACTAGGACTCCTAGATCTCTTTCACATGTAGTCTTGTTAAGCCAGGTATCCCTTATATCTATGCATTTTATTTTTCCACCCTAAGTGCAGTACCTTACATTCCTCCCTGCTGAAATTCATTTTGTTAGTTTTGGCCCATCTATTCAGGTCATTTTGAATTTTGATTCTCTCCTCTGGGGTATTAGTTACTCCTCCTAATGTGGTGCCATCTGCAAATCTGATAAGCATGAGCATGACCTCTATTTTTTTTTTCTGTCCAAGTTGTTGATAAAAATGCTGAATAACACTGGGCCCAAGACAGAACCCTATGTCACCCCACTGGTCACTTCTTTCCAAGAAAGTAGAACGAAGTTGGAGAAGATTCAACATGCTTTGAGTTAGAATGATTTTTATGTTGATGACGGTAGGATGTATGATGTTATTGTAAATGATCTTCGTATGGATGCTTTAATACTCTATCTATTTGTTGCATCAAGATATGCATTTTTATAAAGTCTGAATTGTAAAGAGATGTCCAGGGTGCCAAACATCACCCTTCAGCATCATGGATAGCTCTGTTAAAATTAAAAGTAATGCCTGCAGTGGATTGACTATCCCACTGACATGGAAGCAAAAGGCCGCTATGGCTGTAACGAAATGCACAATGTTAAGGATAACTGATGCTTCAGCACTGCAACACATTGGAATAATATCAGCATAGAGGAAGAGGAAAGTGGATGGAAGGGAGGAAGGAAAGGGGCTCTGGACTTATTGGCCATCTCATCATAGCAGCAGAAAAATTCTTCATCCCAGTGACAAGAGAAAATAAATTGCTTGACACTATCTCACAGACAGCCTGATGGAGTAATTTGATAACAATCCTGTCAGTATAATGACAGCCAGGGCTCTGACAGGGGGCATGCTGCACAAATGGGAGGATGGTTGTTTTTCGGGAGGAAGAATACGAAGAGGTTCACCAAGTCACTCTCCAAGGGAACTTGTTAACTTCTTCTTCATGGCTGATTCTAAGACGACTCAGAATTGAGGTGACTTGTGCGTGACGCATGAAACTAGAGCAAGGAGAATGAGTGGGGGAATGACTGTTCGCATCGCTGTTCTTCATGCCGAGAAATTAAGTGTTGCGATCTAGCTCACTGGATGAGTGAGACTGCAACACTGGTAATGTGACGTTGTGGGTTGAACCCTGGGTCCATTGGTAAAGGGAAGGACATTGACTCACCACGTTCCCTTTGGAGGGTGCAGACGGGGTTGGTTGCAGCAACCAGGAGAGCACTGGATGCAAAAGGATGGACACCATTCACCTCCCCACAACTAATGCCTGTGTAAAATGCTCCCTCAATGTGTGGCTTCATTCATAAAGGTGTTCTGGGGAAAGGTTTACACTACACAATCTCAAAGTACATCTTGCATGGCAGGGAGTTGGACTGGATAGCCCTTGGGGTCTCTTCTGACTCTACGAGTATGAATCCACTGCTCTAGGTCCCAGTCTCTGGAGCAGAAGAAAACAAGCTTGCTCTATCCTCAATATGGTGTCCCCCCAAATATTAAAATATGGCTATCATGTTATCTCTTAGAACAGGGGTAGGCAACCTTTCCCCTTTAAGAGCTGAGGGACTTCAGCTCCCAGAATCCCAGGAGCTATTGGCCAACATGGGACTATTGGCCAACATGGTTGAGGCTTCTGGGAGCTGAAGTCCCTCGGCCCTTAAAGGGGAAAGGTTGCCTTCCTCTGTCTTAGAATCACAGAATCGTAGAATCATAGAGTTGGAAGAGACCTCAAGGGCCAT